TCTCTACTCTATCTGTCTAGGACAGAAAACATGAAGGTAATGGCCCCTGCATGTATGAGAGAATCACAGCCTTGACTGAATCTCAAAAAAAAAGCCCTTCTGAAAACTTTGTGTTCTAAAACCATCGTCCTGAAAATGGCAGATGTCCCTGTGAAGAGCAGACACCTGAGGGCTCAGCGCTTCTCATCCAAAACAGACTTTCATACTGAGTCCTGACACCTGAGTTCACCCCATATAAATCAAGTCCTGGGGTGGGGAATGCAAATCTCCAGCAGCCCAACCCTCTCCTGTGTTAAAAACTGAGCAGAGTGCCTGGGTCATCGACTTCTGTGCCCACCATGGACACGCTGTGTTCCACTCTTTTGCTCCTGACTGTCCCTTCCTGTGAGTGCTCCAGTCAGGGACACCCACAGGAATAAGCAAATTATTTTTTTCTCACTCTAACCCAGTTTAACCTTCTTCTTGTGTTTTCTCCACAGGGGTCCTGTCCCAGGTCACCCTGAAGGAGTCCGGTCCTGGGCTGGTGAAACCCACCCAGACCCTCACATTGACCTGCACCTTCTCTGGGTTCTCACTGACCACTTCTGATACGGGTGTGGGTTGGATCCGTCAGCCCCCAGGGAAGGCACTGGAGTGGCTTGCAACCATTTGGTGGGATGATGATAAATACTACAGCCCATCCCTGAAGAGCCGGCTCACAATCTCCAAGGACACCTCCAAAAACCAGGTGGTCCTAACAATGACCAGCATGGACCCTTCAGACACAGCCACATATTACTGTGCACGCAGAGCACAGAGACACAGCCCGGGGTGACTCTTGTGCAAGAACTCAGGCTGGATCCCAGTGTGCTGCCTCCTCTTCTGCAGAACAGGAACATGTGACAGACAGGCCATTTCCTGTCAGGCTCTGGGGTTTCCCCTCCCACAAGCACATTCAGAGCGCTGTCTTTTTTTTCCTTCTTCAAGTGTAAATTATACACATCTCCTATTAATTGTTCATAAAAGAGAAACTCTGTAATCTGTTTTATGAAGAGTCAGTATGAAAGGTTCCTGTCACCTAGGCTGTATAGATCGCTGATGTCATGCAACCTGTTCCATGGAGTCATGCCACTCCAATTGGAAGAATACAAATAACTGCATTTTCCTTTACAAAACTGTTAGATAGAGTCAGAAAAGAATTATAAAGTGAGAAAGCATGTGGAGTTACAGAAATACAGATGCCAGCTTTTCTTGTTAAAAAAAAGAAATAATACAACCCAAAGATACAAAAATAGCATAACAGCAAAATAATAAAAAGGAAAGAATGTGCCATTGTTATGAAATGTTCTACAGTGGCAGTGCACAAATAAGTTTTCAAGGATTTTATATAGAATCCATGCCTCATAAAGCATGTTTCCAAGAGTTAAGTAGGAGCCCAAGATAAGTAGGAGGCCTGACGTTTGGAATGGAAAATGCTGTAGCTTCACTCTGAAAGAAATCTCATTAAATCTAATAAGCACTTCAGGAAAAAGAAAAAAATAAAAGTGCAGCACATCTCTCTTGAGTGTGATCATGAAACAGAGTTAGAAGAACCATCCCATGAAAATGATCCCCAGAGACAAACAAACAAGCAAACACCACTGAGTTAGCAGAGATTATTGAGTGAGCAGGTCAGTGCTATGAGACAAAAGGAAAAGTACAGGTAGATGGTGAAACACAGTAAACCAACACCCAAACAACAATAATGAAAAAACCCATGATCAATGAAATATATATATATATATATATAAATTTAACTTCATAATTTTAAACAATTTTTCAGTCATGTGACTATTAAGAAAATTAACAAAAAGCATCTTACCAGGTGAAATATTTGCAAATCATACAACCACAACTTTCTCATATGCAAAATTTCATAAGAATCCTCAAAACTAAACAGCAACTTTAATAAATAAATAAATAAATGATTTATTCATAAGATAGTCACAGATTCACACAGACATTTTAGCAAACAGACTATGGAGATTATAAATAAGCATATAAACAGATACTCAACATTACCGTCCAGTAGAGATATTCACCTGAAGACCTCAATGAGGTAAAGTATAATCTTTTTAGAATGGCTCTAATTCAAAAGAAATACCATATTGTACAGTTCAATATAGTTAGAAAAGAGAATCTTGAACTTTATAACCACAAAGAATTAACAAATGTTTAGGTGATAAATACTCTGTTATGACTGGATAATAATACAATATACATATATACTGAAACAACAAACTGTACCCCATAAAGTATACTATAAACAATAAAATACTTCAAAAATTTGTGCTAAGATAAAACAGATATTGCAATTTCATTTTTTGGAGGAAAAATTCAATCTGCATAGTTTTGTTTTTAATATACTTTTTTTCATAAACTTTTTGCAGAACTATTAAATTTCTGAACTATTCCTCTTTAATTTTTGTTCATTCCAAAGTACAAAAGCAAATTCCAAAGCAATTTTGCTCTCTGGTCCTGGGTCCTTGGTCTTCAGTCTTCTGCTCTCAGCTACCAGAACCTGTTCCCAACAACTAATCAGATTCTGCAAATTCTCTGCTCCCAGCCAGCTGGACTGCCACTGACCCCAGCTTTCTATCCTTTGAAAACACTAAGAATAATGTCCCTGTGTTAATTTTTACTAGAGCTAATCAGCCGTCATGCCTCAAACAGGGATCATATAAAGGTTGCCCACAGCCCCAATAATCACATGGTGCAAATCTGTAAGAGCAGGGTCCGGTGAGTCAAAGCTCCTGAACTCAAGCAGCACAACAGACACATCACAGGCTCTGACTGGGCTCCTAAGAGCGACCGCATCCTCACTTGCCAGGCAGACTGAAATGTCTATATTTGGAGTCAGAAAGATGGTGTCTGGAAGCCAACCCTAGTGATCCTGAGAATTAGTAGCACAGACACTTTTGTGAAGTGGTATCTTCTAGAGAACAAATTTGCTGTGGGAAGCAGAAGACAACTCATTTCCATTTGCTGTTTGTAGGCTGAAAATGACTGGTGGGTAAGCAAGCACATTGAAAAGCCAATTGCCTCAGTCCTCGTCTTGGACTGGCAGCCTGATAATGTTTGCTGGTAGCAGGATCATGTGACTTCGAATGCAGAGTGTTTTCTGCTTGCATTAAAGACATGGAAGAAAAGCCAGCCAGTACACCCTGGGGCAACAGGAAGCTTTTTGGTCAGCTGATGTCAGAGTTTCGTGGCAGTGGCACTCATGGCCAGTTGAGGTCATGAGCTGGCCATGGGGTCAGCTGAGTCTCCCATTGGAGCTGCTTGGCCTGGGTCAGCCATGACAGCATCGTGTATATTGTTTATGCCTCAGAAAGTGCACAGGTCTCAACTCTGAAAGCAGAGTTCCTGCCACTCCGGCGTGTACCATTTGTCTCAGAGAATAGTGTTGTAGCTGCTGGCTGTGACTGCTGCCAGATCCTTTTAAACTAGCATGACCTTGGCTGCTTGACCTTTGATTTCAAGCTACACATTCCAAAACAGAGCATCCAGTGTGACACGTATGCATGAAACGATTCTGCCAACATGGACCAGAGGGTGACCACTGAGGACCACAGTTCATCCTGGAGACTCTGAAGCAGAACAGCATCACCCAGGTGTCTATTTATAAGGTGGATGAGCAAGATTGTCACAAGTTTTTCACTACTGGCATCAATGGAGCCATGAGAATTGGAATTTCTAGACCTTAGATTTTTCTATCGAGGGCTGCTGGATGGTGCGATGCTGAGGGGGCCTCCCCAATGCAGCATGAAGACGGCAGCTGATGGCCACTCCGTGTTTACATGATGGTGAGGAACACCAGCACCAGGGAAGCAAGGAAACACGTGCAGTGAAAATAATGTGCGGTTTTGTATGTACATAATTTTTGAAGGTGTTTGTTTTGTAAAAATAACAGTGATTTTTGTTTTGGTTTTGTTTGGTGTTTATTTGTTTGTTTATTCTTGCAATTTCATTCTATTCTTGACCAAAGCTTCTCTTCAAGAAGTTTATGTAAAAATTAAGTAGTTTGTGAAAACAAATGCACACTAACTTAAATGAAAGACTGAGGAACATGTGAGAATTGTCTGCTAGAAAATTAAACAAAAATAATGAAAAAAGCAATGATTCTATAACTAAAATTTTATATTTGACGTCTGAAAACTAATATATATATATATATATATATATATACATACACATACATACACACACATACAGAAACCTTGTAGCTTTCCTTCATGTAATTAAAAAATACTTATTTTAGAAAAAAAGAAAAAAGAACCAATAGAAAAGAAATGAAAGACTGAGAATACCATTGTTGGTGACTATGCCAGGAACCTAGAGCCACAAATATTGCTAAAGAAAATGCAGAATGAAACAGCTATTGTGGAAATTAATGTACAGGTTATTTTTATACATTAAAACATAATCTAGAGTCTTGATTAATTTGTCATTGATAATATCTACAAATGTCACAATCTTCGTTCTTCCCAGCAAATCTAATTACTTCTTTTATGGGGATGAGCACACACTAGCAACCTATTCACACTCACCTAAATATATGCACACTTGTCACATTTTAATCTCTAAATATGAATTTATATGAATTTCCCTTTAAGGTTATAGTTTCCCTGAAGGTAAGGACAGCTCCTTCTGCATCTATTTAACAGAGACCCCCTGGTGAGTAATGAGCTCACCTGGTTCTGGACACTGGTTTCTATTTCTTGCCCTCTGTTGTCCACACCAGATCAGCCCACTTCTTCATGCACTAACAAGAGTGACCAGGTTTTATCTGCTGTTACAACTCACCCAAATTCTGCTGACTCTCCTGTTACCTAGATTTCTGGATATTATTTAACTCACTAAACAAATGCTGAATAGATCAGTTTCAATACTCCATACTCAAGACTTTTTGATGTGCTTGAATAAAGGAAATACAGGAGGATCTAACTGGTCAATGGATGTGTGAATACGCTGTGTCGAGCATGATGACTGACCGGCCCTATGTCACCAGGTGTGACCTGTCAGATCAGCACCAGAGCAGGTAATCCTTGTGCACTCAGAGGTGAGGGCTGTCAGAGGTTCTTTCTGGTTCCCAGGGAGGGTAACAGCACGAATATCAGTGATGAGAAAATCCAGCAATGCAGACATCCCACTACAGAGTTTACACATAAAGTTGTCATCACAATCCACAATTCACGTCTTTTCAGACAGAAGTACATAGAGGTAAGGCCACATCCTCAGGGTCACACAGTGAAGAGGGAGGCAGATGTGCTCCACTACATCCTCATAAGATCCCAGACACAATCCAGAGTTTCACAATGTCTGTGGATGGCAGCTCAGAGGTGCTTTAGTAAAAGGGATCTTGTTCCTAGGGCAGGAGCTTTTCTCTGACCATCACAACTGCATCCATTTAGCAGAGTTTTCAGTGTGCATCTCTATTTCCAACAAACATGAAGGTTCCATACACCAAAGTGTAGAGTATGCATAAAGGAAATGTACTTTGCAGGGCCTGGTTTTCCAAAGCCTTGCAGTTTCAAATATTGATCTTGCGAAGGACAGGGCATTTTCCCCAGGCTATAAAGTCTCTGGTGTAAGATAAAGAATTGTAACACAGCAAGGTTGCTGGCTCAAAGACAGGTTACTGATTGATATGTAAAGATACTGGGAAATTGCTGTAAGAAGAGAATGTTTACTAAAATCAAGCCCTTGTTAGTGGATCTACTTAATGTTACCAGCTTCTATTGTTAAACTTGTTAAATGGTACTTAGCAAAAACCCCACCTGTGTTCTCTTCCTGTAACTTCCTGGTCTGAAGAATAAATGTGGGAAGAGAACCCCAACTTGTGGTTAATTTCCCATATGGAAGGATTGCCTCTCTTGTGGGTTCCAGGAGATTAACCCCTTTTGAGGGCTTCTCACTGCTCAGAAGATATGGGTTTTAAGTTATCTTTGGTGGCTCCATCACCCAGGGGAAAAGGGGTGACAAATCTGTGGGAGGCAAAGCAATAAATGGTGACCTTGATGTGACAAATTCTGGGTCCAGGGATCACAGACGGAGCTGCCAAGCCTTGGAGAGGAAAAGAAAGAGGACATTCACCACTTATCCTGACAAAAGGGAAGTCCCAACAAAAGGGGGAAAGAAAGAGGACGTCCACCACTCATCCTGACAAAAGGATGGAAAGAAAGAGGATGTTTGCCACTCATCCTGACTAAAGGGAGGCCCTGACAAAAGGGGGGAAAGAAAAAAGGTGCCTGGAAAAAGGAAGAAGACATCTACTCATCACGTCAAGAGGGAAATCCTGGTAAGGGGGACTCAACCCGGTAAAGGGGATCACAGAGGTGGCTTTCAATTAAGTGATTGCACACCTGCAGCAGTGTACAGCTAGGGCTTTCTTTGCCCAGAGGTTTTGATTTCTTATTCTTTCAATTCTCTATCTATTCTTGTGTTTATGGGTAGTTTACTGCCTAAGAGGGAAATTCAATATAGTTCAGTCCTTCTATGTCTCCTTAAGGCAGTAGGTTATAAGGTAACCAACTGTCATCTAACTAAATTATTATTGATTATAGTGGATTGGAAATTTTGTCAAATGCCTTAGAAATTATTCAGAACATTAACAAAAGGAAAAAAACGTGTTTTTGCCATTACAGAGGATGAAAAACAATCCTCGCCTCCTCCTCCTCCTCTTCCCCCACCTCCACCTTTGGAGGAAAACAATTCATTTGTTCCCTTGATGGAGTCCTCTCTTAAAGGACATAACATGGGAGTTGATGCTCATCATTTCTCTCCTGTTATAAGAAATGGGACTCAGTCAAGATATGAAAACCTCCCATTCTCCTTGTTTGAATGGTTTAAAAAGAGCATCACAGAAAATGGCTACATAGTACTTTTACTAAGGAATGCTTAGAATCAATTGCTAAGGGGTATAATATGACCCTTTGGCATTGGAAAATATTTGGAAAAACTGTTTTAACTCCTGCTCAATATACTGTATGGCTACAAGACTATCAGGAAGCCTTACATGTTATTTCACTCACAAATTTACAAAATGAGGTTCAAATTAGCACGGGCATGTTACTTAACCAAACAACTAGGGCAGCCATAAAGGCTTGGGACAAAATTCCTGAAACAAAATCTAAACTTCAACTTCTTGTTTCCCCTGATACATTTTTGATACAAAGATTAGATAATCTCAGCCACCGTTGACATTATCTGTTGAATGAAAATTAATTACAGATTCAGTGACTGATGTTACCATAATTGCTAAAAAGTGTTGGACTCCATTATGGAAAGTAACTTCTTCACCAGTTATTGGATTACACTTATTGGATACACTTATTGGATTAGGTGGGTTCAAAATCCCTTATCAAAGTAAAGATCCTTTGTTTTGTACTAGCCCCAAAGGACAAACTGCCTCCATTATGCCTTATGTTCCAGATCTACCTCAAACCGTATGGGGCCAAGACCTCACTGGTCAATGGGGACATCTTCAAAATTTATCATAATGGCCACAGCCACAGTCCCACCAGTTAAATTACAATGGACCCCTGGTCTTCCAGTTTGGGTGGATCAGTGGCCTCTTAAAGGGGAGAAGTTAATTCAAGCTACTTTACTTTTTAAACAACAGCTGCAAGTGGGGCATTTAGAGCCATCACATAGTCCCTGGAGTACTCCCACTAAATCTTTTGCTACTGTTAGACAGGGACTCCCTGAGCCTTATATAGATTTTAGTAACCATCTTCAAGATGCTGTAACTAGACAAATTGACAATGCTCATGACAATCCAGAACTGCTATCGCAAGTCTATTTACATTTAATCAAACAAGTTAATAATTCTGGTTTACCAGTAACTCCAGATAAAATTCAAAAAAAGGAGCCTTGGAAATGCCTTGGTTTTTTAATCACTCAGAGAAGTATACTGCCCCAAAGTATATCTTTCCATATTCAAGAGTAGGTTACTCTAAATTACTAACAAAAATTACTTGGCCATATTAACTGGTTCCACCCTTCTATGGGTTTTCCAACTTATCAATTATAATATTTGTTTATACCTTGAAGGGAGACACTGATCTGTCCCCCCTCATTACTTACGTGAAGAAGCAAAATTAGAATTAAAACAGATTGAATCCTTTTTCCATTCCAGACAGTTAACACATATTGTTAAATCTCAACTTATTCATTTCATGATTTTAAACAACCCACATATTCCCAAAGGTTTGCTTTGCCAATTTCTTCCTCAAATAGAAGTCATTGAATGGATTTTCTTACCCCACCAGCAAAAAAGGAAATTATATACTGAATTGGAGCAATGTATTTGGCTGCTCACTGGGGGAGAACACCATTGTCATGTGCTTGCTGGGTGTGATCCTGATGTTGTTTATCCTGGTCTTTCTGGGGCTGATTTTTACACTGCCCTTGAAAAATTATGCCCTATTTCCCTCCCTCAAGTGCCAACTGTTTGTCAGTGGTTCTGGCAGATCAGGAAAGGGATCTGTGGCATGGTGGAAGCAGGGAATCTGGAGGCATTTTGTTTCTGTCCATCATGGGTCCACTCAGAGGGCTGATTGGCAGCTGCCATTGCAGCTTTGCAACATTTTCACAATCAGCCACTTAGTTTAGTAGCTGACTCTGCCTACGTAGTTGGAGTCTTATAGGTAATTCAGGATGCATCTATCCATGAGGGAAATAATTTTCTTTTATTTGAAATGTTTCAACATTTTCAAAAACTTATTCAAAAAAGACATCATCCTTTCTATGTAACTCACATGCATTCTCGTTCTGGTCTTCCTGGACCTTTATCAATTGGAAATGATATGACTGATCACTTTGTTATGTATAATAATGTTTTAAGGAAAGCTATTGGTTCTCATCAGTTTCTTCATCAGGGTGCATGAGCTCGGGCTAATATGCATCAGATCTCTACAGGCAAGCCCAAGATACTGTCTGTGCTTTTCCTGATTGTCATAGATTTTCTAAGTCTAATTTCCCTGTAGGCATTAATCCTTGAGGAATAACAGGTAATGACATTTGGCAAGTGGAAGTCACTCTTAAATATTTACATGTTACTGTTGATACTTAAACACTGATTCTTATTCATGCCACTGCTCAAACAGGAGAAACTGCTAAACATGTTAAAAATATTGTCTTTCTGCCTTTGCCACCATAGGGATTCCAAATAAATTTAAGACAGGTAATGGAACAGCATACACCTCCAATTATTTCAAGTGTTCTGTGACAACTGGAAAATTAAAAATGTCACAGGAATCCCATTTAACCCCACTGGCCAGGCAATTGTTGAAAGAGCTAACGGCCTTCTTAAATCTCAAATAAGTAAACAAAGGAGGGTAATGTAGATATAGGACTGGCCCCTCATAAACAGATCTTTAAAGCTCTGTTTACACTAAATTTTTTAAATTGTAACTCCCAAAAATTAACAGGCACAGAGCAACACTTTATACTTCCTAAAAAGAGATGTACACCCTTGGTTTTATACTGCCACCTGCTGATGGGACCACAATGGTTGGGACCTACTGAATTGTTAACATGGGGGAGAGGGTATGTGTCTGTTCTCTCACCCACAGGCTTGCTATGGATTCCTGCTAAGGCTGTTAAACCTTATGTGGAACCCCAAACAGATGAAGAATTGAATCTGATCCCCAAATCTTTATGCCTCACCATCACACCTCAATCCATCTCACTGGGGATGGTACATATCAGACTACCAGTGATGAAAATAATAAGCTCCAAATTGACCTGGGATAAACTAAAGAAACTTCAACAGTCATATAGCTTTCAATAGCTCAGCCCTTAAGCTCAGTAACTCATTTGACAAATGAAAACTAACCTAAAATCTACCTGTTTAACTAGATGGTCTCAAATTTTCTGGCATCCACTTGGTTATCTTAAAAAGACTTCTAAATTATCTCCTAGTCTCATCTATGTGTTTCTTCACAAAATACTTTGGTAGAATTCTATCCTATTTTCTTAAAAGGAAGAAAGTCTTCTCTATATCTTCTTGAAAAGGCTTGCATACTCTGCTTAACAATGTAAATATGTTATCTTGCTTTCTTTAAGGCAGGGTGAGGCCTCACCAATAAGTCTTTGAAAAAAAAAAACACAATCTAAACCTGGCTGTCCTTTTTACTAGTGAGCTTTTTTTTTTTACATTTTGAGGAAAACCTATAATATCCTTGTTTGTTTTTCTTGTTTATGTTCACATATATTCATGTGTAAGATGTATGTTATGTCTATATGTTCATGTCTGTATGTGTAATTGTGGTATGTGCAAGGTACCAAATTGGCTTATAATTAATCCATGCTCATTCAATAAAAAGTATACTTTTCAAGTTCGCATGTCTTAAATTTTCTAAAGTTTTGATAAATAATTTGATTTGAACCAAAATTTGATTTAAACCTTTTCCATAAATTTGTCTCTAGGTCAATATATTTCCTTGTACTTTCAGCTCTGCCTCCTGGACATGCTGGAAAAAACAATATCTTTTAGTCATTATCTTTGTAAATACCACCCTCTGTCTTAAGCTCCACATGGCTCCAAATGCCACAGGAAAACCTGAGACCCAAAGTGGCTAGTGAAAGGAAACCTATACCCAATATCACATAGGCCCTAGTTAACATTAACCGATATGGGTATAGATCTAATACACCAAGTTCTGGGCTGGGAAACCATAAATATGTGTTTGGTAAAAATATCTAAAGCTCTTACTGGGCTTTGTATAATTTGTTCTGTTAAATGAATGCCTATTTACTAACCTGGATGTATAAAATTGTTTTTATCAGCACTCATCATTGCCTAGGTTTATTAATCAAACAGGCTCACTAGAGGTCTTTTCACTTGACTGCTTTTAATACAAAATAGTAAAAGGTTTTTTTTGTCCCTTAGATAATTCATTAAAGAAATTTATTTCATGATAACTTCTTGTGTCTCTGCTTTTGAAACCCTCTGACACTTTAGTTTTACTTTTTGTAATTATTTGTAATTTTATTCAACTAGTGTTTTAAGCCTTTTGTAACTTGACAGAGCTTTCCAAAATTAAAGGCCCAACCTTTTTCATTTAAACTAACTTTGAGGAGTTCCTAGGGCTCTGGAGCTTCTCAAAGGATATATATATATAAAATGTATCAAAACTAATGGGCTTAATTAATAAATTAGATTATATGGGAAAGCATTGTCAGTACTAAAGATGTTATTGATATGTGTTCCAAAATCTTGTAAGGTTCTTAAATATCTGTGTCTTGATATAAATGCCACCACTCCTAATCTTGGTTTTATTATAATTTTAAAATGTTATGTTTTCAAATATTTCATGAAAAAACTCTGATCGGTACAGTTTCCTGACACACTTTGAGTTCATACCTTTAAACTAAATATCCAAAATTCTAATGAAGAAACTGATGGGTTTGTGAAATTGTTCACAATGGTCCGAACAACAAAAGTTAACTAGTGAAGTATTTAAAAAGAATTACGGGTTTTTACAATTTCCTTATTTGAAACACTGCTGGTTTTCTAAATGTTTTGTTTTCCAAATGTAATAAAACCCTCTCTGTCTCTTAAGCTATCTATAACTAACAACAATTTAGTATAATGTCATTTAAAACAGAGATAAAAGTATTTGTTTTCTCCCTATTTGATCTCCCCCAACTTAATAACTTTAAATATTCTTATGATTATTATGGCAATGTGGCTATTTTTATAAATTCAATGAAAATTATCTCTCTATCTTTATAACAGGATATAATTTAAAACTTTGGATATATGATAGCACATCTCACTTCTAGATTGCTGACCACTTTTTCAGGTTCCCTTAATTTGGCCTAATTGCTGCTTCATCCTGCCTACTGTTCATCCTTCCCCATGATGTGAGACAGATCACCTGGGAAAGGTCCTTCCCAGTGGTATGGGACTTATTCAAAAACAAAAGAAAACAAAAAGGGTAAAACTTTTTCAATCAAGATATTGATCATCAATGCTTTTATGAGGAATGCCTTGATCATAAAGGGGGAAAGGACTTCTCTATAAAAGCAGTTCTCTAAATTTTCCTGGCCTCAAAGAGGGTGTTTGTAACTTGGTTGAGACATCCTGTTCTTAAACAAAAAACTTGTAATTGATCAAAAATTTTACAAAAGACTAGACACTCTGAAAGCAAAAATGTCTTGGACAGTTTAACATTAACAAGCTCTCTGGACTCAGAATCAACTATTACATGGAGCAAAATCCCCTTCCAGAGTTTCAACAATTGGTAATTACACCCAATTCACAGCACCTCGAATGATGCTGCTGCAGCCAACCTGAGATGATGACATCATCCATCCTCACCTGAAGTAAATTAAAAGGACTTGCCATGCTAAATTATACCAACTTTTCTTTAAATGCTTTTGTCTTAACTAAGCAAACCTGATCTATATCTTTTGCTTTTCCTCTTACATAAATAAAATGGGGGGAGATGTAGAGTAGGCATAAAGGAAATGTACTTCACAGGGCCTGATTTTCCAAAGCCTTGCTGTTTCAAATATTGACCTTGCAAAGGACAGGACATTTTCCCCAGGCTATATAGTCTCTATTGTAAGAAAAAGAATTGTAACACAGCAAGGTTGCTGGCTAAAGAAAGACAGGTTACTGATTGATATGTAAAGATACCGGGAAATTGCTGTAAGAAGAGAATGTTTACTAAAATCAAGCTTTTGTTAGTGGATCCACTTAATGTTACCAGCTTCCATTGTTAGACTTGTTAAATGGTACTTAGCAAAAACCCCACCTGTGTTCTCTTCCTGTAACTTCCTGGTCTGAAGAATAAATGCAGGAATAGAACCCCAACTCGTGGTTAATTTCACAAATGGAAGGATTGCCTCTCTTGAGGGTTCCAGGAGATTAACCCTCTTTTGGGGCTTCTCACTGCTAAGAATAGATGGGCTTTCAGTAATCTTTGGTGGCTCGACCACCCAGGCAAAATGGGTGACAAATCCATGGGAGTCAAAGCAGCACCAAAATCCTAAAGATCATGTTCCCTGAATTCGAAATTCTTGGTAGTGACAAGAAATGGATAGTCTAGGATATGTTATTCAGTACAAAAACCAGGTGACTGTACCAGCATATCAGTGATCTGAGGCCCTTCCATTAGCTGTGTCTGTAGATAGCACTGAGTGGAGCTTATATTCTAAGTTGTCCCTCAAGGAGAGCCCTGAGCTCCAGGGTGTTCTTGCAGACACTCAAGTGTGTAGAGGAAAGAAACAGAATGAGGAGGCTGATGGGCATTTTGACAATGGCAGGAATGATTATCATGTAAGCAAATAGGTCTGTCTCATTTCTATATCAACCAATGAAAGTTGGGCATTAAAAGATCCAACTTCATAGCAAAACTTTAATATGCTCCGTAGTAAAGCTAATTCAGATGAAGAAATGTTCACTCAAGTTAAATAAGCTGTTCTGAACTACATTTAAGGTTGGATTGGACCCAGATTTGTCTGAATTTAATGTGTTTATTACATTTAGCTGCTGTCCTAGCATGCTTAAACGTGTCTGTGACATTTGGACACTTAGATATTTATGAAGAAATTTAAAGTACAAATGGAAAATAGATTCTAAAGATATGGAAAATTTTTCCATGAAGATTTTTAAGTACCTATATATAATGAGTAATGAGTTATTGATTCTACTCACAAAGGCATCTTTGATCATTGGCAACACACAGATCACTGACCAGCTCCCACACCAGATTCCATGGCCTGGAAGGAAAGGACCTTGAGCTTGGGGAGGGGAGACCTGAGTTCTCTGAGGGCACAGCCAGCATCCTCCTACTAGGGTGAGCCCGAAAGACAGGAGCCTCCTTATTCCTATCACATTTACATACAAAGGCACCTCACACATGCAAATTGTCACTTTGGCAGCCAGATGAAACCACAGCAGCATTTACTTAAACTCATGCTACTCCTCAGTCTAAGAAATAATTTCCCAGAATCATGGATCTCATCCGTAGGAACATGAAGCCCCAGTTGTTCTCCTTTATTGTTCTGATGGTGGGTCCCAGATATGAGAGTCTTAAGGATTCTGACAATAAGGTATGGGAAGCCGATCTGAGCACATGATTCACTGTGGTTCCTTTTGTTTCCAGGTGTTCTGTCTCAGGTGCAACTACAGGAGTCAGGAGCAGGACTGGTGAAGCCCTCGCAGACCCTCTCCCTCACCTGTGCCGTCTCTGCTTACTCCATCAGCAGTGGTTATCATTGCAGCTGGATCTGCCAGTCAGAGGGAAAGGAGCTGGAGTGGATTGGACAGATCTGTAGGGATGGGAGCACTTACTACAGCTCGTCCCTCAAGAGTCAAGTCGCCATCTCCAGAGACATGTCCAAGAACCTGTTGTGCCAGCACCTGAGCTTGTGACCACTGAGGACACAACCGGGAATTACTGTGTGAGCAAAGTGAGGCAAAGTCACTGTGAGCCCAGACACGAACATCCCTGCAGGTGGGCAGTAGTGAGCCTGGCTGCAGGAGACCCAGAACCCACTGAGTACAGGGCCCAGACCCACGGTCAGTTGCAGACAGTTTTCTATCGTGATATGTTTTTTCTGCCTCCTGGAATACTGTTCATTCATGAAAATGATGAAATCTGCCATTTGAACAACATGTATAAGAATAGGAGATATCAGGTTAAGTGAAATAATTCAGTTTCAGAATTACAAATACCACATAAGTCACCCATATGCAGAATCCAAACATACATACATATCACAGATTTTGAGAGAATAGTGGCTACTACCTACTGGGAGAATTAGGAGCAGGGGAGATGAGAGAGGCTGGTCAGCAGGTGCAATGTTACACTTAGAGAGGAGGAAGTAGTCCTGGTTCTGTACTGCCCAGCAGGATAACTTGATAACAGTAATGCATTGCATATTCAAGCAGAACAGGGGATACTGAATGTTATGACAACAAGGAAATGATCAAAGATTAAGGTAACTATACATACATATATATATATATATATATATATATGGTTTTTTAAAAAAAATTTGGCCTGTAAGGGGATCACAACCCTTGGCATGGTGTGGTCTGCACCACGCTCAGCCAGTGAGCGCACCAGCTATCCCTATATAGGATCCGAACCTACAGCCCCAGCACTACCAGTGCCCCACTCTCCCAAGTGAGCCATGGGGCCAACCCATGATAATAATTTTAATTATCACTATTTGATCATTTTACAATGTAGGTGAATACGGAGAGATCACATTCTACCTGATAACTATGTACAATCTTATTTGTGAATAAAAATTATCTAAAACTTTTGCAGTGTATGATTTTATTCCTATAAATTTTACAAGAGGAAAACTAATGTGAAGTTGCAGGAAGATCAGGAGTTGTCTGGTGTAGGGTGTGAGGACACACAAATGGGGAGGGTGGGTTACAGAAAATCAGTAGGACACATTCTGAGATGCAAGGAGTGTTCAATATTTTGTGTTGTGATGGTTGCACAGGAGCTCACATAAGCCAATACTTATCAAATACAAATGTTAAATATGTGTAGTTTATTTCACATCAGTTATACCTCAATACATTTGTTACAAATGAAAAAAATACTTATATTTATAGAGAAGAAGAGTTACAGATAAAGATGAAGCCATATGAACTTTCAGAGACTCCTGAAAAAACATGTCCATGAATATTGGCTCTCTATATTATAAACAAACACTAGAATGTTGTTAAATCACAGCATCTTCCAATTACTGGAAGTGAGTTCAGCAAACCTTACTAGGTATGATTAAGTCAGCCCCGGAGTAGGTTCTGTAAGGTCATTAGGTCCTGGGGTGAGAAGCACAGACCAGACAGTGGGCTCATTCTTCCACATAAGAACTCATGGACACGCTGCACAGCTCCACTGTCCTCCTGTGTTCAGTTTTACAGCTATAAAAATGAGGTAAACCTGACACCTACATGAAATGTATTTTGCACTTATGTAAAAAATGAAAAAAAAATCGTATATAAATATTAATATTAAAATCAAACAATAAAAAATAATATTTTCTCAAATGCTGTCATTGCCATTATACTCCCCTGGGACACTCATATCTGCTCTGGAAACTGCCATCCCCATAGGCTCTTACTCCAGAGCTTAGTATGTAGGAGGAGAACATGAAAAAAGGGCCTCCCTCTGTGCATGAAAACCATTCCTGCCATGACCCTGAAGATCTGGGAGAGGATCCCCAGTCCCAGATTCCCTGATGCTCCAATAAGGTGATCAGGACTGAACACAGATGACACAACACATAGCTTGGGCTTAGCAGTGTTTTCTTCATTACTATTTTAAAAAGTCATTTCATGGAGAACTAGAGACATTTCATAAGTAAGTGGAAATCCAGGTACTACAGACTGGTCATGGGGGTAACACTGCCTTGTGCTGTCCTCAGCACATCCCAAGGATCATGTCCATGGTGGTGTCTGTGGTGTCCCTGGCATCAGTGGCTGAAACTTGCAGGTCCAGCACTTTTCGTGCCTCTGCACTTGGTGGAAGCCAGTCCCAGGGCTCAGCTCCAATTAGGGGCAGAGACATAGACCCCACCTCTTGATGGAGGTGCTGAGAAGCAGAATTGCAAAACAGGCAAAAAGGTCCTTGGAGCCTTGGCTGAAGAAGGAATAGTCTATTCAGCACACACACATCTAGGATCTAGGTAGCACACAGAGAAACTCCAAAATTCAACTGCTACTGGCAAACTTCAAAGAAAAATTGAAAACTGAGCAGCTGCCATCAGAGTAAACATGCTCTATGGTTAGACACAAGCTCTGCCGACCAGCCTGCTTCACAAAACTGCACAATTGAAGGAAAATGGTCAGCGCTCCTCAGATGTTCAGAATCTTGCAGTGAATTTGATGTAAATATAACTGTGCATGTGTGCCCAGGTGTTCCTGGCTTATCTGACTTGCACCCAGGTGTTCCTGGGTTATCAGACTTAAGTATAAAGGATGAGTAGCTGTGATGTGCAGGGCCCTCTGCCCCGGACGTGCCCCCAGGGTAGCCATAGGGAGGCTGCTACTGTTGCTGTAAGCAGTTGCTGCTGCTGCTGAGGAAGCTGAGGACTGAGCTCACATTGGAATGAATGTGTCAAATCTGCCAATAACTCCTGGGATCTTTCCCATTTACCTAGCTCATGACATGCACATGAAGGGTCTGTCACCCAAACTGACACAGGAGGGGTCTGTGACACAGCCTGGTAAGTGATGGGTCTGTGACCACGTCTCAAAAATGGGTTTGAAGGGTTTGAGCCCTAACCTGACACAACACCAAGCAGAAACATAAGGTTGGAGTTTCAGCAGAGAAACCCATCAACATCATGCCTCGTGGAGCCATGAGAATGGGTTAGCCATGGAGACCCCAACTTATGTGGCTACCAGTGTGCAATGCCAGCCTAGAGAGCTGAAACATGGCCTCAGACGAGGAAATCCATAGAAGCAGAGATGTCTGAGGACTTGGGGACCCAACCACTGCACCAGCATAGAGAGGACGCTGACGTGGAGTCAAGGTACATGAATTTCAGCTTTGAGATTTAATACCTGCCCTGCTGGGTTTTTTAAACTTGTTTTGGACCTGTCGCCCCTTTCTTTTGGGTGATTTCTCCCTACTGAAATAGGAAAATGGATCCTATGCTTGTCCCACCATTGTACGTCGTCAGTAGATGACTTGTTCTGATTTCATAGATGGGACTTTGAACCTTGGGCTTTTGAGTCGATACAAGTTAAGATTTGGGGGGTGGAATGAATATATTTGCTTGTGGGAAGAACATGAACTTTGGGGGTACAATACTGTGGATTGATGGAACTGTGTCCCACAAAGTTCATATACTAGAAGCTTAAATCCCACTGTAACTGTTGAGGGTGGGAAATCCTATCATGGAAACTGAAATGTGGAGCCTTGAAGAGGTGGTTAAATGGTAGGACCATGCCATAGTGAATGGTTGTCAGGGACGTGGTTCTCAGGGCTTTAAAAGGAGAGCACGTGAGAGTCTCTCTGTCTGTCTGTCTCTGTTTTGCCATTTTCTGCCACATGAGGTCCCTGTTGCTGAAAAACCACCAAGGAAGGCATTCACCAGATGTGTTCCAAAGACCACCAAGGAAGGCATTCACCAGATGTTTTCTCTGTACTTTGAATTTTCCAGCCTGCAAAGCTGTAAGCAATAAATTTTATTTTGTTACAAATCACCCACTTCCACGTGTGTTGTTATAAGCAACAGAAACAGACTAACACAGTGTCCACATCCCAGATCCAGAGAAATAATCAAGCTGCCATGCCCTGGTAGATCCTCCCCTGAGTCTTTGAACAACTGCACACACATGCATCTGAGTAAGAAACAGCTAGACTTACGTGTCCCAGGCTGGTCCACCACATTCAGGCACTGGTGATCTAGTCCCCAAATACCTGGCATGTCACACATCCATACCCAGTCTGAAAATCAGGCCATCAACCCCATCTACAATGAGCCAGCCCCTGACATGACTGACCCACAGTGAGCATGTGCACACCACAAGCCTGAGAGTCAGCACAGCAAGTCAGCCCCAGAAAATCCATGCCACCACTGCCACCAACCTCCCAAGCTTAGGTCACCTATTTTATTTTTATTTTTTTAACACCAGATCCACCTGGAAAACACAAACACTCCTATTACAAGTTAATATCCAGGATGCGTATGAGGCTAGCAGGACAATTGTGATACAAAGAAACAGTGTGCAATTAACTCTCCAGGACGCATCGTGTCCTCCTGCTCACTTTGTATCTTGAGGGATTCTTCCTATACACTGTGACAGTTCAAAACAGGACTGTGAAGATGAATGTTTTTTTGTGTGTTACAACAAACTGCTCAGCATCAATCAAAAGCATCATTGCAGGTAGATATAAAAAAAAGACCAATGGCAAGTGTGTGTGTGTGTGTGTGTGTGTGTGTGTGTGTGTGTGTGTGTGTGTTGTGTACATGTGTGGAAAGAGATAAAGCTAGAGAAAGACAGACAGAGAGAGATAGAGATGACACCTGTTTAGTGTATTAGACTCCAGTCCAATCAAAACCTTATTTTTCCCCTTCATCCTGAGATCACAGATAACACACGTGTTCATCTTTTGATGTAAGTCAGGGCCATATGATTAATTACGCCAATGGAAATATACACAGTTATAACATATACACTCACAGCCTGGCTACTTAATTTCAACAGGTACAAAGTTTTGGCTACACAAGATGAATAAGTTCTAGAATCTGCTATACAACACTGTGCCCGTACTTAACAATACCGTATTGTGCACTTAAAATGGTTAGTAGGGAGATCTCATTTTGAGTGTCTTTGCAACAATTAAAAAATATTACACCTGAAATCTGTTTCCATCTCCTTCTGTTTACTGTTATACA